GCTCTCCCCCATCAGTGACCAACACATATTCATGAGGAGAATATCTGGAGGAAGGTTGGCGAGGTCTAGTTGACCTCCTCAATTGTGGCTCATCTGAAGCTTCCTACATAACTTGTTCAGGAATAACATCAATATCATCATTAGCTGCTTTAGGATCACCAACTAATAGCTCAGTAAGAGAACCACCATTATCATCATTTTGCAAGTCTCCCTCGTGATTAACAGGCATTAAAGGTAACTGTGGAATGGGTCTTGGATTTGAATTCGATGGAATAAAAATAGTAGACTCTGTTTTCTCTTTTTGTTCAAAGTCTTTAATGGTTTAATTTTCAAAAAAGATAACATCTCTGCTTCTCACAATTTTCTTCTCCTTTGGATCCCATAACCTGTAGCCAAACTCATCATCTTCAGAGCCCAAGAAAATGCATTGTTTTGTCTTGCTATTAAGCTTAGACCTTTCATCTCTAGGAACATGTACAAATGCCCTGTATCCAAACACTTTTAAGTGTGCATAAGAAACATCCTTTCCTTTCTAAACTCTATCTGGAACATCAAATTTAAGAGGAACTGATGGAGAAAGGTTGATCATGGCAACTACAGTCTTCATTGCCTCACCCCAAAAGGACTTAGGCAGCTTTACATGAGAGAGCATATATCTAATTCTTTCAACAATGGTTCTGTTCATTCTCTCAGCTACTCCATTCTACTGTGGAGTCTTAGGAACTGTCTTCTCCAACTTCATACCATGTTCCCTACAATACTTCTCAAAAGGACCCCTGTATTCACCACCATTGTCAGCTCGAACACATTTGAGCTTTCTACCAGTTTCCCTTTCAACTCTGGCATGGAAATCTTTAAAGACATCAAGCACTTGATCTTTGAATTCCAAACAAGTGGCCTAAATTTTCCTAGAGTGATCATCAATAAAACTAACAAAGTACAATGCACCTCTAAGAGACTTATCAATCATAGAGCAAACATCAGTATGAACTAAATCAACATATGATCTTCTATGTGAAGGTGATCTTTGAAACGCAACTCTGTGTTGTTTGCCAACTAAACAATGAGTACATGTGTTCAAGTTCATACCTTTTAATGGAAGGTAGTTCTTTTTGGCAAGGATGCCAAGGCCTTTCTCACTTAAATGTCCAAGTCGTTTATGTCATAGATTAGTATAGCAATCTTCAATTGCATTCACCTCCCCTTTGATCACCTTGGCTTGTGACATGTAGAGACCCATCTTCTTCCCTTTAGCAACAATCAGGGAATTTCTGGAAAGCTTCCATTTACCATCTCCAAAGTAATTGTGATAGCCTTCTTCATCAAGAGTACTTGTAAAGATCAAGTGTAGGCGCATATCAGGCACATGCCTAACATCTTTGAGTAGCAACTTGTTGGTTTCCAACCAAATGTCTCCAATGCCCACAACACTAGCCATCCCTTGGTTTCCCATCCTAACTTGACCAAAGTCACCAACAGTGTAGGATGTGTAAAAATCACGTCGGGGTGTAACATGGTACAAAGCTGCTGAATCTGCAACCCAGGTGGTATCCTGACATGCAAGATTAACATAACCATTATCACAAACAATGGCAACATCACCATCAAATACAACTGCACTTGTATCATTCTTTTCATTCTTGTCTTCGTCTTTACCCTTTTTATCTCTTTTATACTTTCTACAATCCTTTTACATATGCCTAGGCTTGTCACAATAATAACACTTAAAACCCTTCCTTGACTGAGATCTTCCTCTTGGCTTCCATTTGCCTTTTTTATTGCTGGATTCTTTATCTTGCTTGCCATGAGAGAACCTACTTGGACTTCTCCCTCGACTTTCTGTAACAAGTGCATGAGACTCAGAAGTGCTTGTGCTTTTCCTTCTCTTCTCTTCATTGAGGATACAATCCTTCACTATTTTCAAAGTGACCTTCCCATTCGGAGTAGAATTGCTAAGTGACACCACCAAAGTCTCCCAACTATCCGGCAATGAACTCAGTAGGATTAGTGCTTGCATTTCATCGGCTAACTCCAAATTCATCAATGACAGCTGATTCAAGAACCCTTGGAATACATTTATATATACTAAAGCATCTTCACCATCTCTATACTTCAAATTCACAAGGTTTCTAATTACAAAAACCTTGTTTTGTGCACTCTCCTTGGCAAATGTTTCTTCCAACATCTTCCAAACTGTATAGCAGTCATGTTCTTGAGAAATATGATTAATGGACTTAGAAGATACTCATTTTCTAACATTAGCAGTAGCCTTTCTATTAATCCCATTCCATTTTGCATCATCCATATCATTAGGCTTTTTACATTTAATCGGTAAAGCTAAATCATTGCAATATAAGTGATCCTCTATCATTGTTTTCCATGGAAAATAATTTGAGGAAGTAAGCTTTATCATGCCTGAATCTTCCTTTTTCATTTTAACTGTACAATGAATTCAATCTACACAACCAGTGCTCTGATACCACTTTGTTGGGAAAACTAGGAACAACCGGACACTAATTTACCCGGATCAATTCAGCGGAATACAATTCACAATTTACAAGTCCCAATTCTTTCCCTCTTTGTGCAGTAAAACAGAATCAAACAATGATAAAAATAATGCAAATAATCACAAAATCAACACCAAGATTTTTAACGTGGAAAACCCGATACGGGAAAAACCACGAGACCGTAGTCCACCTAAAAACTTCCACTATCAACAAATAATGGGTTCACAATCATTCTTCCTCATATTCAACTAAGGGATACAACATATATATCATCAAGAACAACTTATTCTTGGATTACAACAAGATTAAAGGAGAATTATTTGAGAAAAACTCACAATACTGATAGCCCCGTTTTTTGTCAAAATAGTCAGCTTCCACACTACCAATCTTTGATCCAACCGTCCAGAATTAAGATCAATATGTCTAAAAGCTGCTGTCAAAATCTCAGCCAGATCCAATGGTAAACGAGCTGGAAATCGAAGGAAGAACACAGGTTGCTCTACTGCCTCTTCTTCTCTTTTTACCCGAACCACATTAATTTCAATACCAAGAGACATCCATCACATGGTGTGGGACCACACACAAGAAATTGTTATTGTTGAATGAGAATTTCTCGCTATCTATTGAAGGAGAATTGTCAAGCATGATTGAAGCATCACAACCCTGCAATATAGCAAACATATATATCAGTTCCAGACTGAAATAAATCTGTCTGTGCAGTATTAATGTTGTAGCGATCGTGTAATTTACTTGAACAAAGCAATCATGGAAGTGAAGACGAATAAGGGATGCTGCCATTCTGCGCTCACTCGAGACAGCTCTCCGAATAGCAGTACGAATTGTGGTCAGTGCATTCGGACATGTGCTGTCATAGAAGTTTGAAGACAGTTGTGCTTGGCATGGCAAGCATGAGGAAATCAAGAATAATGAAAAAACAACACAAGCTAAAGATAAACGAGAAACCATTTCGTATGCTGTGCAAAATGTATTGAAAATTAATCAAGTAGTAGAAAATAGTTCCGAAGCTAATGAAATCTACTAGCGAATGAGGATGTGAATGGCATAAGCCTCAATTCCTCTATACTTATAGACTGCCCGTTGGTATGGCTGTATCCCTAAGTTAATGACTTGTTGTTTAGAAGACTCTTTCAAAAGTAGTAACAGTAAGACAAGACACCTGTCCCTGAAAATTTCTAGGGTTTCCTTTCTTTCTCTTAGCATTTAATTTTGCTTACCAGATCCTATGGAAGAGTCATCCAAAGCGATTGGGAAGGACTTTTCTTATAGTTTCATTAATCCCTCTACCAATATTTTTTAAAAATAAATAAATAAAATACTATTAGAATAATCTTACACTCTTTATTCTTATAAATTATGGCATCTTCAGTTTTCACATGCAAAATTCTTATATTTTTTGACCTGCCATATTACATAAATATATGGCTAAGCAAGACCATCAAGATTTAGTAAGAGGTAGAGGGCCCAGATTCCCTCATCAAAGCATATCACAAAAGTATAAAAGTAACTAAAAATAAATAAAACTGAAGAAATTATCCCTTTGTTGTTGCATTGAAGTGTGATCTTCAGAACGCCATATTATTTCTCCCAACAATTAGGTCAAAGTTGATATGGTTGGTTTAAACGAAGAAGAGGAGACAATTCCCTAAATAAATTTTTGTTTGATTATTATTTTAGAGACATGGGATTAAAATATTGAGGATTGGCTGACTTCTCCAATAGGATAAAAAAAAAAAAAAAAATAGGAAAAAAAAAAAAAAAAACGTTGACTTCATGGAAATCTAGCACACAATTGAAATTTTCAATCTCAATCTAGAGAAGTACATGATCGCTGAACTTGTTATTTTCTAAACTAGTTGAACTAAAGCAAGGCTCGGACATGATACAAAAGTAAGGCTGCTCAGGGTATCTTAACTCTCACCAGCATGAACATGATGCAAGCAAAAAGGAGGCCTTGATGTTTTGTTTAATGTGTGTAGCACCTCCATAAGAGATGTACTAAATAACTCCATAAATCCTCATAATTCTGCCACACGAAAGTCCTGCGGCCATATAAATTTGGGTTGGGATGTCTCTGATTCTGCATGATTTGATCTACTATTTCCTCTTCCATGGCCTCTCATTTTTCAGCGGTTCTCTTATGGATTTGGTTCATCTTTATCACTATTTTGTTGCTGAAATGCTGCAGGCACCTTCAGATATATAGGAGAACTTTATATACTGTTAGACTGAGACTCCTGCTGCTGGCTTCTGCAGAATCCTGTTTCAGTTAGGGATATGAAAATCTAACTTAACCTGTTAAGGATCAAGAAGTGTTATTTCATCACGAATCTCTAAAGTTCATAAGTTCTTCGACGGAAAAAAGTTAATCTTTTCAGGATTGCATTACCTATAAGCTGAATTTCTAACGTAAAGCAACAGTTTTTTCCCTGAAGTGAGAGGAGTATGTCAAACTGAAGCACAGAGCATGTGAAACTGATGCAGAAATTGGCTTGTTGAATGCACCTACATTGTTAAGAACCAAAAAAATTGCAAAGATATAAAACCATATAGACTAATCAATGTCCGTAACTTAATATTTCTGCTAGGATAACAGTAAAACCATATTAAGCATTGTGACCCTATTCAATCTATCACCAGAAGTGAATGCTAATCAACAGAATCCATGCACCAAATGTCAGCGAGCTGGACAAGAATCAAACTATGTAACTTATGAAATTGTGAAGAAGCTTCACACAGAAATTAGGTTTTTTATGGTTGGGTTGATGGGCTGGATTAGTAGTTGTTATTCGCCTGAAAAACAAAATCTTGTTGAGAAAAAGGAATTCTCTGATGCTTATATTCTTTTTAGAAAAATTTCTTTTGTTTTTTCTTGTGTCATCAGTACCAATGTCATAGCTAAAAGAGAAAGATTTTAATGGGAGAACAATGTGA